GCTGTGCCCTTGTCTAAAACCTGACTGAGTTTGACATAAGATTGACTTTAACTGTTCATTTACCATAGATTCAAACACTTTAGCTGTAACAGACAACCTTGAAATAGGACGATAATTATCTAGCACAGTGGGATCTCTTCAGCAATGGCTGTATGTTTGCTGATTTTCAAGAACTTGGTAAAAGACCACTAGTTAAACTCAGATTAATAAGTGATCCTCTAAAATCTTATTACACCTTTCATGTCTTTGAACTATTGTCATGTGAGATTTTTTCTTCTTTTAATAAATGTATTTAATAGTGAATGTGGGAATTTTATTATGTAAGTCACACTTTTCATTGTTTAAAAAATAACCAATATTTCATAAAATCAAAATATGGCAAAAAAATATCAAATATGAAAAAACATCATTGCTGTAATATGAAAAAAAAAACTTAAGCTTTAAAATAAAAAGCATTTTAATTTAGTGCTTTTATATATTTGACATTGTTTTTATCTGAAACAGTTGTGCTTGTATTTTGTAGTCAAGACATTTTTCAACAATATAATCAAGACTATCAGATATTTATTGTAATTAAGTCATTTTTAATTCTTACCATGGTTTTCTAAGGTTAAATTACGATTATGATTGTGTGGCAGGCAGATTGATTATAGGTAAATGAGCAATTATTTATTAATTTTTAAGTTTATATTCCTAAATTTTGTATAACCTCAGTTTTACCATGAATACCCTACCATTGTTAAACCATAGAAGGTGTAGTTAAAACAATAATTAATTTGTATTTAACATGGTTTAAAGCAGGGATGCTCAAACTTTTTCGTATAAAGGGCCAAAAACCAAATATCGTCGGCGCCAGTGGTGTAGTGGTTAGTGCGTCGACACATGCACTCTGGTGCTCACGGTGACCCGGGTTTGATACCGCCTCGGGGTCCTATGCCGATCCTTTCCCTCTCTCTGCTCCCCATGCTTTCCTGTCAATTCTCTCTACTGTCCTGTCAAAAATAAAGGTGAAAACCCTGAAAGAATAATATAAAAAAATATATAAATATATATCATTGAGAGCCGTGTGCTGAAGGTAAATATACCAAACTACATTAAAGTAGTCATGGGTCATTTTACTAATTTATTAGAGAACATTACTTCAAATCATATTAACTAATGCAGTCGAACATTTAAAAGGAAAACTTATTGCAATAAAAACATAAACAATTGCATTTAAAACACAGTGGAGTTAAACGCTGAATACACTAGTCAAGCAGAAATCTTTGATTCGTCATCTATCTGTCGGGTGACAGTATGTACATTTAAACTAAATCTGATTCATTTACAGTGAATTTCATTTCAGTTAGCTTTAAACAATAAAACAAACAAACAAACTAAATGTTACATTAGATTTAAAATGACAATCTCTAAGCCAGTGTTTCCCAACCCTGTTCCTAAAGGCACATGCACTAACAGTACACATTTTCATTCATTCATTCATTCATTCTTTCATTCATTCAGTCACTCTTTGGTCTTTTGAATCTATTACTTGTTCTCAGGTATTGCATTTTGACTGAGCGCAAACGATAAGTTAATATATTAATTCATGTAACCACGTACACTGAATCTGCACATTTGAATGACTGCCTGCCTTTATTTCCTGTATTGTATAGAAAAAATAACTTTTAGAACATAATACTTTTATAATGGCCATTATTGATTATTAAAACTGATATTCAGCATAGACAGGGTATCTTTCCTATTTTTAGAAGAAAATAAAAGGAGGCATGTTATAGGCTCTGTTTTGTTATAAATACGCACACAGTGAATTATGTTCGATCAAACAAAAGAATAGTGAAATATGTAAACAATGATCGGTCCCTGTGGCTTGTACAGCACCTCTCATCAGTTGGAATGCAATAACTTTTGCATAGATTATGGTAGAGACATTTTTCTTTTTTCCTATGATTACAGACATGTGCAGGAACCACCAACATTAATTACAGCACGCTAGACCACACAGAACCTAAAAGGTACAGTTTCAAATTTGAGTTTATAAAAAAAATACAAAAAGCGCCTCTTTTTTTAGGTGTTTATTATAACACAGACGACATATACAGTTATTTTAAACACTTTTAATAGTGTTTTATGAAAATTCAAAGGGTTTTCTTTAAAATGATACCAAATTTTTGCATTTACACCTCTGCATGTGGATTTGGGAAGCTTTTAAATTTGGGTAGGCAAAATCCAGGCGGAAATCCCCAAATAGCAACAGAGTTTAAGTGGTTAAATATTCCATTTTAAAATACTGAATTATTGTAACATGCGAACATATTAACAACAGAACATCTTCATACACCTGCAGTGTTTCCAACAGCACAGAAATAAAGAATAAACTAAATAGAATAAATAAATAAATAAGACACATAGTCCTGCCTGATATTTCTCACTTTTGCAAATTTAGATCATGTACTGGATGCCTTTATTTTACATTTGCATTAAATTTTATTTATTTTTTGTCGTTAGTGGAGGAGTCAGAGAGGGAATTGCATATTAGTACGGAAAGTGGAGACTAAATAGTTGAGTTTTTAGTCGCTTTTTGAAGACAGCGAGTGCCTCTGCCGTTCTGATGCAGTTAGGGAGTTTATTCCACCAACTGGGCAGATTGAATGCGAGAGTTCGGGAAAGTGTTTTTTTTCCTTCTTAGGGGTGGAACCACGAGGCGACGTTCATTCACAGAACGCAGGTTTCTGGAGGGCCTATAAATCTGCAGAAGTGAGAGCAGATAAGAAGGAGCGCAGCCAGAGGTCGCTTTGTAAGCAAACATCAGAGCTTTGAATTTGATGCGAGCAGCAACTGGCAGCCAGTGCAAACGGATGAGTAGCGGAGTGATATGTGCTCTTTTAGGTTCATTAAAGACCACTCGTGCTGCTGCGTTCTGAAGCAGCTGAAGAGGTTTGATTGAGTTAGCTGGGAGCCCGGCTAGTAGAGAGTTGCAATAGTCTTAATACCCTTATCAAATAAAGAAACCAGAATCCTCCCTTGGCTATTTCTTATCTTTTGTTTAGGACCTTATAATGTAATGTTGTTCAAGAAGAGTTTAGATTCATACCTTATCACACAAGGTATCTTGATGGGTTCTGCAAATAAAGCCAATGTCCACTCCTCAGAATAAAATTAGTAAAATATACTTTTATTAATAAAATAAATCCAGTGAAAATGATTTTTTCTCCATTGAGAATAAAGGGACTAAGGCATTCAGTATACAGGAGTCAATCTAAGCTCGCTGCTGGTCTGTCTGCTCCAGCCTTTTATTCAGTATTCCAGCCTTGAATACAGGCTTAGAAGTCCCCTCCAGTAAATACACAGCAAAGTAACAATAAGTGTCTGATATACTTGAGAATATCTAAAGTTTGATACATTTGAGAATATCTGTTTATATAGAAGAAATCCCTTGTGTTCTCTCTCTAGGGTGATACATTTTAATACAAATAAGCAAATCATTTCATCTATTACATCAGCATTCGGCAGTATTTCAGGAGTCTTGTCCTCCAAGGTCATAGCTCCTAGTTGACAAAGAATATCTTTTTCTGAAGATAACGCTCGCAGGCTTTCGGTTGTAATAATTGGTTAGAAGTGTCATCTGGACAATTTCTGCCTTTATTGTCAGCAGACAACTGATTCACTTCAGTACGCTGTCCTTGACCTCTTTGAACTTTGTTGAAATCGTTTCTTATGTTTCTTCTCAATGCTTATAGCAGTCTTTGCAAGCATATGAGTATCCAAATATCTACAGTAAGTGACTCTGCCTTTCTGATGCAGTTAGGGAGTTCATTCCATCAACAGGGCAGATTGAGCGCGAGAGTTCGGGAAAAGGATTTCTTCCCTCTTATGGATGGAACTACGAGGCGACGTTCATTCACAGAATGTAGGTTTCTGGAGGGCTTATAAATCTGCAGAAGTGAGAGCAGATAAGTAGCGCAGCCAGAGGTCGCTTTGTATGCAAACATCAGAGCTTTGAATTTGATGCGAGCAGCAACTCGCTGTCCTTGACCAGCAGCTGAAGAGGTTTGATTGAGTTAGCTGGGAGCCCGGCTAGTAGAGAGTTGCAATAGTCTTAATACCCTAATTAAATAAAGAAACCAGATGCGCTGTACGCAGAACCACAGTACGCTGTCCTTGACCTCTTCGAACTCTGTTGGAACAGTTTCTTATGTTTCTTCTCAATGTTTATAGCAGTCGTTGCAAGTATATGAGTATCCAAATATCTACAGTAAGTTAAGTTTTGTGTCTTATACAATTAATGTCAATTAACAATGCAGACATCCTTTTTAAGAACTGGCGTTTTTCCCCATCGTATTGTTTTTTTTCTTTCATCAAAAAAAAAAAATAGCAGGCTACCTTAACCTTTTAAGGCCCAAGGTGTTTTTTTACATGCATTTTTTATTTCTCTTCGCTATTTGAGCTTATTGGAACCTAATTAGAATAAAACTTAAGTATCATCTTTTGATATGATGTACTTTTAGTGAAAAATGATGTCCATATATGTGGACTCGTGGTCCGAAACTACATACAACACTTTTTCCTGACTGTCTTTTTAATGCATATATAACATATACATTTTTTTAACTTGCTTTGACTATCAGAGAGTAAAAACAACATTTTTCTCATTTTGGACAGTAAAAATAGTGTTTGGGACATTTCATATGCTGCATAACAGTTGCAGGATGACACTGTATGTCTGTAACAAAATATAAACATTCAAAGTTTTTTAAATAACCACTTAAGAGCTAAAATGTGCTGTCCACGTATGTGACCACTAAGCCCCTGGAGGTTAAATCCATCGCTCCATGAAAAAAAGGATTTAAGTTAATGAATGATCCGCTCTAATTCTTATATTAATAGCCTCTGTTACGATTTTTAATACAAGTCATTAAAGATTATGTCTTGAGCATCTGATTTTATCTTATGCTTGTGTGTTTTTTTTTCCTCTTTCACTCGCGGTTCACGTGTGCGCACTGCGTGTGATGAAAGACAATGAGGAGAGGAATTTTTTTTTTGAGGTGGTACTTGGTGAAAAAGATTTGAGAACCACTGATGTAGACCATATGTGCTTTTGCTTTTGGATTTTACAAGCAAGCAAGTTTTTAATCAATAAAAATGATTTTAAACAACTTGACTAAACTAATTGACTTTACCTTGAATAATTATACCTTCATTTTTAAAATAGCAAAAACAGATCACACTTCACTTCACTTCAGTGAAATATTGGACCAGATGTTCCAGAAAGGGGATGGGAAAACTCTGCCTGCTGAAGTGGACTCTGTCCAACGTTAAAGTACACTGCATAATTTGTGTGGCAGGTTTGAATAATTTTAAAGGTAAACATTTTAAATTTTGCACGAAGTTCCCTTTTGGCTGCAAATAACTTTCTTTTTTTCCTGTCAATAATTTCAGAGAAAACCCATCACCATCTCCAGCAATTCTCAGAAATTGATGTTTGCCTTAAACTACTTCTTGAACATTTCATACCCAGGAGTGCAAAGTGCAAGGCTAGAGTTTGTGCAAAGGTAAAAAAAAAATAATAATAAGAACATTCTCACACCCAGGCCCACAAACAAATCCTCACACTCAAATCCAGGCGCTCTCACAAGCGTTCTCACATACACACTTGTTGCACAAAAACATCCTCACACTTACACTCTCTTGAATTTATTCTCACATTCATACACACTCACACATGCATTCTCACACATATTCACAGAACAATCTTCTCAGTCTCTCTCACACAACATCCTCTCACAGAGGTTTTTCTAGTAAACATCCACTACAAGCTTGTCCTGTTAAGCTGCGGTCACACTGGACTTTTCTCTCCATAGATTCATACGCACGTGAATGCTTCAGACTGGAAACGCAGGCTTGTGTGACAAGTTTCGCAGTTCGCTGTGTTGCAAAGTTCAAGCTTGGTGAACTCTGACCTGCGAAATCGCCTCACATGACTGCGTGAGACCAATCAAAGATCAAAGCATGAACGCTCTGGACAGAAATTTTAAATATGGACCAATAACTTGCTTTTTTAAATGTCTAATCATCTTGTTTAATCCCGCCCCTTTACACAGCGCTGTACAACAGAATTTCACAAGCTTAAACTCTAGAGTGACCACAGCTTTAATTTAAAACATTTTAGAGCATGATATAGTCCATGTTTTATTACTAAGGATTGTTTTCCATTCAGCAGGTTTCTTTTAAAATGGAACCTAGAGAAGGATCATAAGTAGAGAAGACCAGAGGAATCAGAGAAGAATCGGAAGTGGAGAAGACCAGATCAAGGAAGACCACATTAAGATCTGCGGTCAGTCCATAGGTTCTTTCACTAATTAACAAGATTTCAGACTTTGAATAGTTGGAGAAAAGCATTGCCTAGCAGAAAATCTTGCCAGCTTAACAGACTGAAATGATCATTTTCTTTTGTGGTTTAATTTTTTCATGCCTCATCTGTTGTCAAGATGAATATGTTCACACTGGTTTAGTTTTAAGGACAATTTCATTATTAATTGTAATTTGTTTACCAAACTGCTGTATTGTTACAGTATTTAACATTTCCTTTTATTGTGTCTGGACCCTTTTCACATTTTTTGGTTTCTTAAAGTCATCATAGTTGGGTAAACTTAGGCCCCGTTTACACTAATACGTTTTAGTTTTAAGAATGAAAATGATCCACGTCCACACTGGCATTTCACCCAGTTTCTCTGAACAACTCTCCATACTACACTGCTGAAAACGCACATCACATGACCACACACACACTCTGGCATGCACTGCAGCGATGAGAGCTGTGCACGTTGGACTGCTCATCAAGGATCTACCGCTGGATCTAATCTCACTATATTTGTTAAACGTGATATTTAATTCATCTTGTCTCTATCTAATGACATATTCCCTGACTTTGGTCTTTTGAATCTTTTACTTGTTTTCAGGTAACGTGTTTTTACTGAGCGCAAACATAAGTTAATATATTAATGTAACCACTGATTCAGCACATTTGACTGACTGCTTCCGTTTATTTCCTATAAATGTATAAACTTATTGTATGTTATACTTTTATAATGGCCATTATTGATTATTAAAACTGATTTTCAGTAAAAGAGAGGGAATGTTTCATATTTTCAATGAGAATGAAAGAAGGCAGTAATGTTAAAGGCTTTGTTATATATGTTATAAACATGCCTACAGTGAAGATGATGGTCATACAAATATGCAGCTGCACGACGCCTCAACATTTCTGCTGTCTGTTAAGTTGCTAATATCAATATGAAAATAGACAGTTCCTCATATCATGTTTTTATTTTATTGTTAATAAAGTGAAACAACGTAGCCTGCAGGGTATGTGAATGAGGTTATACAGTATACTGTTCCCTTTGGAGATTTACCCGACGTGTCCTCGGGAGTTTGTTTTCCATATCAAACTTGCGGAGTCTGAAGTTACAAGGAGACGATGCAAGACTGAACTGTGTGTAGGCTACTTAATACTGAGAAAAAACTCCAATCAGACAGGCGAATGTCTGCAGCCACGCCTCCGTTTTCAGATGTCTCTGTTTTCCCTCATCCACACTAACACAGAGCAGCAGCGTTTTAAAATAAAAACGGCCTTCCAGCATTTTCTAAAAAGCTCTGTTTATGGCGCTCGAAAACTTCGGCGTAGTTTGGACGGATGTCTTAGCCGTAGCAAAACTTGTCCGTTTTAAAACTAAAAGTGTAAACTGGGCCTTAGAGAGTGGTTAATGGAAGAGTACCACAAATAAAACTGTTTTTGCATTTGAATTGGCTCAAATAACAAAAGAATAATAATCAGGGGTCGCTACAGCAGAATGAATCACCAAATTATCCAGCATACGTTTTACACAGTGGATGCCCTTTCAGCTGCAACCCAACACTAGGAAACACCCATACACTCTGGCCTTCACACACATACACTTCGGCCAATTTAGCTTATTTAATTCACCTATAGCGCATGTCTCTCGGGGGAAACCGAAGCACCCGGATAAAACCCACACGAACATGGGGAGAACATGCAAACTCCACACAGAAATGCCAACTTACACAGCCGGTGCTCGAACCAGCGACCTTCTTGCTGTTTGGTGATGGTGCTACCCACTGCGCCACCATGCTGCCTCTTTTTAACATAATATAAATATTAAAAACTTTAAAGGATGTAAGATGCTGATTATTATTGAAATGAGTCGCATGTCTTGTGAACGGTCTATTATGACTGTCATGATTACCAGCGATCGCTAACCACCAGAGGTCGCTGGTAAACATTTACACTCCTTGAACTACATATCTGCCATGCTATGGACTACAACACCCAGTCAGGTGTTCAAGATCCAGACTGATTAAACTCTCACAGCTGAAGCCATTCACACCATGATTATTCGGACTATTTAAACCCCTCTGTTCCACACACATGTTGCTGAGTATTGTTAAGCTGTTGCTGTCCTTACGTAAGCGGTTTTTCTTGTTTCCTGTTGCCTGTGTTTTTGACTTTTGGACTGTTTATCGTGTTTTGACCCTTTTCTGCCTGCCCCGAACCTTTTGCCTGTTTTGTTGGATTTGCTTCTGGATTGCCTACCACACTGTTTATACTGGTATTTGACCCTTGCCTGATTGACCATTCTTATAATAAAGCTGCATTTGGAACTACCCCAGTTTGCATAGCATCCCTTCGCAACAATGACAGTTACGATATTTTTATATTGTTGTAGTTATAAACAGACTGAAGTCTATGTTGTTGCAGCGGTTTAATTTTGGACATTTTTCTATTTGAATGTTGTTGCAGTCATGCTCAATTTTGGGGAATAAATTATTAAAATACAGTTTTACATTTATGACTGATTATTTTAAAGTGTAAAATATAACCAAATGCAAAATGAACATAATAACTATGTATTCACTGCCTTTGAACATGTTATTTTCATAAAAATTAGTTGCTATCTGCTGACATACTGCTGGTCTGGGGTGCGTTTCTGAAAACCATTGTTAGCCAACTAAAGTTGCAAGTTCTGTTGTTACAAACATAGTTAATTTGAGATTTCCCAAATCTGTCGTTCCAACGAACACTCGCAAACTGCGTCACAAACTTGTGCACTGGCAACTACACCTCTGGAGCTGTAGTAAGAAACATAGTTCCTGGCTGTGTTCTATTCCCAGTTTTCCCCCCTATGCCCTATTCTTTTACAACATTCTAACATTTAAACTTGGGACTATTTTTTAAAAAACATTAAAGTCATCTGTCTTAGGCGTAATTTGCTTTCAAAGCATTATTAGAGCTCAGTTTTAGCAAGCTTCATGTTTACAATTGCGTTGCCTTCGTAGTTCACTTTGAAAACATTGATGTCATTTTGAACACAGCCGAGCCGAATTTATGTTATGTCTCCAAAGCTAGTATGTTTTAACAGTCATTGCTCCAAAGCTTGTGAAAACAAAAAACATATTATACATTAATGCTTTTATTTTATATAGGCTATTGATTACGACATGTAGCCTACTGTATGACACAGGCCTGTTGGTTAGAACATTTCTGCAGTGGTTTGTGTCAAATTGTAAAAGCACTTTAACTTTATTTTTGTGTATAATATGTATATATACTAATTGTCAAATCAAATGATTAATTATTGTTTTATTTTTAATTATGCCCAGTGTTGAAACTTTTTAAAGCTATAGGTGAAATTAAAATGGTGAATTGACATGTGTCTTGATGTTTTTTTTATGGACAACAAAATGACCTCTTGACGCTCAAAGAACTGTTTAGTTAAATACACAAAGACACTTTAGGAGCATTAAAACATTTGAAGATCAATAAATGCACAAATATTTTTTCAATAATCAATTTATTGATGAACAAAGGAAGATTTGTAGCAGTTCTGTAAACTCAAAAACAGACTGCAGAGGGAAATCTTGACAGCAGAAGTGTGTTACTTTTTGCTGGCTGAGCCCTCTTCGTCCTGACATCCTCATCCTCAAATGGACACTGAAAACACATGAGAACTTTAATCACAACACCACAGACACATGGGTTAGTATCAGAACAGGCATATTAGTGAACAGAGGGACACGTACAGACTCACGCTTGTTCACTAGTCGACTTGTAAAGCCTGGCAGTCTGGGTAAGGAAAGTTGAGGCTTCACTTTCAGATCAGACGAACATGAAGGGAGTTCATCGAAAGGCTTTACAGAAACACAGCTTGGCTTCAATACAGACAAGCGTGTGGGAGCAGCAACATGATGCTGGCGGAGAGGTGTAGGTTTGACCATTCTCACTGCTGGACTCCCAGAATGTGCCAGAAGAGATGAAGAGCGGTCAACATCGGCGTTCAGGTCAGACAGAGGGAAGCTGATGTTTTTCAGTGAAACTTCCGTCTTGTGTTTAGGAGAGCTCATGCTGCGTTCTGGAGGTCCGTTTGTGAAGCTCTGCTTGTTGACAGGCTTCACATGAACTCGGTGTGGCTCCAGAAGAGGCAGGTTTGAGCACACAGCAGCTGACTGCCGGTGGAGAGGCAAGCGTTCATCCATCCTTACTGCTCTACTTCCAGATGGAGGCAGAACAGATGAGGGCCGGTCAACACTGGCATTCAGGCCAGACACACATGCAGGGTAGCTGATGTTTCTCACTGAAACCTTCACCTGATGTTTTGGAGGTCCATCTGTGAAGCTCTGCTGGTTGACAGGCTTCACATGATACTTGGACTCCAAAACAGGCAGGTTTGACAGCACAGCAACAGACTGCTGGCGGTGAGGCGTATGTGTGTCCATCCTCACTGCTGGACTCCCAGAATTAGGAGAATGGTCAACACTAGTCAGGTCAGACGGGTAGCAGATGTCTTTCACTGAAACCTTTATCTGAGGTCTAGGAGCGCTCACTGCTCTAGCTTTCAGATGTCCATCTGTGAAGATCTGCTTTTTGACACACTTCACAGGAACAGTTTTTGGCTTCAGAGCAGGTAGGATTGAGCGCCTGGCAATCAGTTGCCGACAGAGAGGAGTAAGCTGGTCAATCCTCAGTGTTCGACTCCCAGAACGAAGCTGAACAGAGGAGGAAGGCTCAACACTGGCATTTAGGCCAGACTCAGAGGAACCACAGCTGATGTTTTTCGCTGAAACCTCCATATTTGTAGCAGAGTTCACTCCTCGATGTTCTGGGGGGTGTGGCAGGACCTGACTAGAACTTTTTTGGTTTTTGAACCACATATTGACAAACTAAATTGAAGATTTTGTCGCAACAAAAGTAGCTTGAACGTGCCGTAAGCAGCGATCACGAGTGAAATGCGGTGAAACTCTCGTTCTGATGATGATGTAAATGTTCTTTTAGAATGTTCGCGTCATTTCAAGCTCGTGACGTTCTTTCAGACATCATTTAAATCTCATTAAGTATATTTAATAATATATAAGTATTTAAATACACTCTGAACGCATATTTTGCACCACATTTTTAATACTGCAGTTAGATATGAATCTGACTCGCATAAGTGAGGTTGTGGCTCCCTCTAGAGGTAGAAATCGACTTTTGCTAGCTCTGATAAGGTTTTTAGCGTCTTCTCCCACCTCAACCTTAAAACCAACCGTCACAGTACTGTAAAAATGAACTATTGTTTTACAGTGTCACAAAAATGATGCTATATTGACGTGTATATCTGCAGCTGTGTCCTGCACAAAAGCTGTATAAAAATCTTATATTAGGCCAATAATAAATAAATATAATTAATTCACCCTCCTCCAAGCCTACAGTTTCTTCTGTAAATAAATTGTGCATTTATATATAAAAGTTAGAAAGGACTCTGATTCTCAAAACCTCTCTCAATTCAGAAATTGCTTTATTGGCATGACAAATGTTTTGCCAAAGCATTTATAAAGTTTACATTTAAAAGAACACACACACACACACACACACACACACACACACACACACACACACACACACACACACACAAACACACACACACACACACACACACACACACACACACACACACACACACACACACACACACACACACACACACAAACACACACACACACACACACACACACACACACACACACACACATAAACATATATACATATATATATCTACATACATATATATATACATATAAACATAGTAAATACAGTAAATAGTAGTATAGTATAATAATAATAATAATAATTACTATATTCATTTTCTTTTCGGCTTAGTCCCTTTATTAATCTGGGGTCGCCACAGTGGAGTAAACCACCAAATAATTCACCTATACTGCATGTCTTTGGACATTAAACCCACGCGAACACAGGGGGAACATGCAAACTCCACACAGATATGCCAACTGACCTAGCCGAAGCTCGAACCAGCAACCTTCTTGGTGTGAGGCAAACGTGCTACCCACTGCGTCAACGTGCATATTAATAATATTAAAAATAATTAAATAAAAATACAAATTTAACAAAATAAAGAAAAATAAAAATTCTCTCACACAGCATCTCTAGAGACAACTTTAAACAAAAAATTTTTTTAAAAATTAAATAAAATATGTGTCGTTGAAATATAAATAGTTGAACATATAAATGAGTCCAATCACAGTTCACAGACATGCTGGAATATTCTTGGATATCTGTTTCTCACGCAGAGTAACTATATGGCTTTATAAAGGACATTCAAAAACATCTAATGTGTTATAGCACATAGTCAAGTGCACTAAACAGTTAAGCTATTTGCTCTACAAATGTTTATAATTATGATGACAATTTATTAAAATAGTATAGTGTAAAGGGAATACATTTAAATTGATTGTATGCAAACATATGTTACTTTTGGTCATCCAACAGGAAAAATTTATTGATTGATTTATTGATTTATTTATTTATCAACTTAACCAGCAATGTCCCATTGAGATACAATACCATTGCAGGGTGAGAGGGGAGTCTGAGGTCTTGAGAACTCCCCTGCTTGATAATGGTGAATGTAGATTATGAATAGCTATGGAGAGTGTTTGCTGAATTCAATGCTTGTCTATGATGTTGATTTAGTTTTGTCAATTTACTTATGCTACATGTTTTTGGTCTGTAGGAGGAAACCGGAGAGCTCGAGGAAAACCCACACAAACATGGAGAGAGCATGCAAACTCCACACAGAAATGCCGGCTTGGCCAGGTAAGATCTGAGCCAGTGAGATTCTTGCTGTGAGGCAATAATGCTAACCATTGGGCCTCCGTGCTGCCCTGACAAGGAAAGGGGAGGAGTAGGGGTGGAAGGGGGGATTCTTCAAGACGAAGATGGCCAAGATAAGATACTCAGGTTATTTATAGTGATTTAGGAATCGTCTGATGAATCATGCATTAACTAATGAGGACCAGCTGCTGTCAATCATAAGCACGCGCTCCTCTCGAAATTAGTTTATAAATAAACTTCCATTTGTAAAGAGTCTATTGCCACTTTTATAGATGAAGCCATAGTGTAAATAATTGTGTCGTCTGCAGAAAAGTGTACATTTGCTGACCTAATAGCTTTACCAAGTTTATTTATATAAATAGAGATTAAAATTGGCCCAAAATTGAACCGAGGAACACCTTACTGTTAAAGGAGCAGAGAAACAGTATGCCTTTCTAAACACACTGAATTCTTCCAGTCAAATAATTATGGAACCATTTCAACACTCGAGTACTAAAGCTTTTGCAGCAAAATATCATGATTCACAGAATCAAATGCTTTTGATAAATCTATAAAAAGTGCAGCACATGATGTTTTTATCATCCAGTGCAGTGATTATATCATTAGAAACTGACACTGCATCAGTTATAGTGCTGTGCCCTTGTCTAAAACCTGTCTGAGTTTGACATAAGATTGACTTTAACTGTTCATTTACCAAAGATTCAAACACTTTAGCTGTAACAGACAACCTTGAAATAGGACGATAATTATCTAACACAGTGGGATCTCTTCAGCAATGGCTGTATGTTTGCTGATTTATTAAGAACTTGGTAAAAGACCACTAGTTAAACTCAGATTAATAAGTGATCCTCTAAAATCTTATTACACCTTTCATGTCTTTGAACTATTGTCGTGAGATTTTTTCTTCTTTTAATAAATGTATTTAATAGTGAATGTGGGAATCTTATCATGTTAGTGACACTTTTCATTGTTTAAAAAATAACCAATATTTCATAAAATCAAAATATGGCAAAAAAATATCAAATATGAAAAAACATCATTGCTGTAATATGAAAAAAAAAACTTAAGCTTTAAAATAAAAAGCATTTTAATTTAGTGCTTTTATATATTTGACATTGTTTTTATCTGAAACAGTTTTAGTAGTCAAGACATTTTTCAACAATATATTCAAGACTATCAGATATTTATTAAGTCATTTTGAATTCTTACCATGGTTTTCTAAGGTTAAATTACGATTATTGTGTGGCAGGCAGATTGATTATAGGTAAATGAGCAATTATTTATAAATTTTTAAGTTTATATTCTTAAATTTGCAACTCTAAATTTTGTATAACCTCAGTTTTACCATGAATACCCTACCATTGTTAAACCATAGAAGGTGTAGTTAAAACGATAATTAATTTGTATTTAACATTGTTTAAAGCAGGGATGCTCAAACTTTTTCGTATAAAGGGCCAAAAACCAAATATCGTCGGCGCCAGTGGTGTAGTGGTTAGTGCGTCGACACATGCACTCTGGTGCTCGCGGCGACCCGGGTTTGATACCGCCTCGCGGTCCTATGCCGATCCTTCCCCTCTCTCTGCTCCCTATGCTTTCCTGTCAATTCTCTCTACTGTCCTGTCAAAAATAAAGGTGAAAACCCTGAAAGTATAATATAAAAAAAATATATATATATATATATATATATATATATATATATATATCATTGAGAGCCGTGTGCTGAAGGTAAATATACCAAACTACATTAAAGTAGCCGTGGGTCATTTACTAATTTATTAGAGCACATGACTTTAAATCACATTAACTAATGCAGTCGAACATTTAAAAGGAAAACTTATTGCAATAAAAACATAAACAATCGCATTTATAACACAGTGGAGTTAAACGCTGAATACACTAGTCAAGCAGAAATCCTTGATTCGTCATCTATCTGTCGGGTGACAGTATGTACATTTAAACTAAATCTGATTCATTTACAGTGAATTTCATTTCAGTTAGCTTTTAACAAAAAAACAAACAAACAAACTAAATGTTACATTAGATTTAAAATGACAATCTCTAAGCCAGTGTTTCCCAACCCTGTTCCTAAAGGCACATGCACTAACAGTACACATTTTCATTCATTCATTCATTCATTCATTCACTCTTTGGTCTTTTGAATCTATTACTTGTTCTCAGGTATTGCATTTTGACTGAGCGCAAACGATAAGTTAATATATTAATTCATGTAACCACGTACACTGAATCTGCACATTTGAATGACTGCCTGCCTTTATTTCCTGTATTGTATAGAAAAAATAACTTTTAGAACATAATACTTTTATAATGGCCATTATTGATTATTAAAACTGATATTCAGCATAGACAGGGTATCTTTCCTATTTTTAGAAGAAAATGAAAGGAGGCATGTTATAGGCTCTGTTTTGTTATAAATACGCACACAGTGAAGATGATGCTCATATAAAAATATGAGGTTTTTAGGGCTCGAACAAACTCCTGGATAATGTGGTTGGAACGTTTAACCATAGCAAAGCATATGAGTTTTAAAACTAAAACTTAGTAGTGTAAACGGGGCCTCACATTTATACACTTTCACACACACATACACACCCTCTCATTCACGTGTATATATTCACTGTGCATCCTCACACACACATTCATACAACAATCTTCTTAGTCTGTCTCACACACAACATCCTCTCACACAGGTTTTTCTAGCAATCATCCATCAAATGCTTGTCCTGTTACTCTGCTTTTATGCTCATTTCGTTTAATTTTCCCAATGGACAACCGCCGCTAGTTAACCGAATATGAACGGTTAACTGGTCAGATTAATATTAAATTACTGTTCAATTTGAAAGAAATTGCCGTGTCTATTTTGTGTCAGACACATTAAATATTGCATTTTAAAATACTGATTTATTGTAACATGCGAACATATTAACAACAGAACATCTTCACACACCTGCAGTGTTTCCAACAGCACAGAAATAAAGAATAGACTAAATAGAATAAATAAATAAATAAAACAAATAGTCCTGCCTGATATTTTTCACTTTTGCAAATTTAGATCATGTACTGGATGCCTTTATTTTACGTTTGCATTACATTTACATTTAGTCATTTAGCAGACGCTTTTATCCAAAGCGACTTACAAATGAGGACAAGGAAGCAATTTACACAACTATAAAAGAGCAACAATAAATAAGTGCTGTAGGCAAGTTTCAGGTATGTAAAGAAAGTGTAAGAAGCAAAACATTGGTAAATTTTTTTTTTATTATTATTTGTATTATTTTTTAATTTTATTTTTTTGTCGTTAGTGGAGGAGTCAGAGAGGGAATTGCATATTAGTATGAAAAGTGGAGACTAAATAGTTGAGTTTTAAGTCGCTTTTTGAAGACAGCGAGTGCCTCTGCCGTTCTGATGCAGTTAGGGAGTTCATTCCACCAACTGGGCAGATTGAATGCGAGAGTTCTGGAAAGTGTTTTTTTCCTTCTTAGGGTTGGAACCACGAGGCGACGTTCATTCACAGAACGCAGGTTTCTGGAGGGCCTATAAATCTGCAGAAGTGAGAGCAGATAAGAAGGAGCGCAGCCAGAGGTCGCTTTGTAAGCAAACATCAGAGCTTTGAATTTGATGCGAGCAGCAACTGGCAGCCAGTGCAAACGGATGAGTAGCGGAGTGACATGTGCTCTTTTAGGTTCATTAAAGACCACTCGTGCTGCTGCGTTCTGAAGCAGCTGAAGAGGTTTGATTGAGTTAGCTGGGAGCCCGGCTAGTAGAGAGTTGCAATAGTCTTAATACCCTAATTAAATAAAGAAACCAGAATCCTCCCTTGGCTATTTCTTATCTTTTGTTTAGGACCTTATAATGTAATGTTGTTCAAGAAGAGTTTAGATTCATACCTTATCACACAAGGTATCTTGATGGGTTCTGCAAATAAAGCCAATGTCCAATCCACAGAATAAAACTAGTGAAATATACTTTTATTAATAAAATAAATCCAGTGAAAATGATTTATTCTCCATTGAGAATAAAGGGACTAAGGCATTCAGTATACAGGAGTCAATCTAAGCTCGCTGCTGGTCTGTCTGCTCCAGCCTTTTATACAGTATTCCAGCCTTGAATACAGGCTTAGAAGTCCCCTCCAGTAAATACACAGCAAAGTAACAATCAGTGTCTGATATACTTGAGAATATCTAAAGTTTGATACATTTGAGAATATCTGTTAATACATAGAAGAAATCCCTTTGTGTTCTCTGTCAGGGGTGATACATTTTAATACAAACATAGCAAATCATTTCATCTATTACATCAGCATTCGGCAGTCTTTCAGGAGTCTTGTCCTCCAAAGTCATAGCTCCTAGTTGACAAAGAATATCTTTTTCTGAAGATAACGCTCGCAGGCTTTCGGTTGTAATAATTGGTTAGAAGTGTCATCTGGACCATTTCTGCCTTTATTGTCAGCAGACAACTGATTCACTTCAGTACGCTGTCCTTGACCTCTTTGAACTTTGTTGAAATAGTTTCTTATGTTTCTGCTCAATGCTTATAGCAGTCTTTGCAAGCATATGAGTATCCAAATATCTACAGTAAGTGACTCTGCCTTTCTGATGCAGTTAGGGAGTTCATTCCACCAACAGGGCAGATTGAGCGTGAGAGTTCGGGAAAGTGATTTCTTCCCTCTTATGGATGGAACTACGAGGCGACGTTCATTCACAGAATGTAGGTTTCTGGAGGGCTTATAAATCTGCAGAAGTGAGAGCAGATAAGTAGCGCAGCCAGAGGTCGCTTTGTATGCAAACATCAGAGCTTTGAATTTGATGCGAGCAACAACTCGCTGTCCTTGACCAGCAGCTGAAGAGGTTTGATTGAGTTAGCTGGAGCACGGCTAGTAGAGAGTTGCAATAGTCTTAATACCCTAATTAAATAAAGAAACCAGATGCGCTGTACGCAGAACCACAGTACGCTGTCCTTGACCTCTTCGAACTCTGTTGGAACAGTTTCTTATGTTTCTTCTCAATGTTTATAGCAGTCTTTGCAAGCATATGAGTATCTAAATATCTGCAGTAAGTAAAGTGTTGTGTCTTATACAATTAATGTCAATAAACCATGCAGACACTACAATCACAAAACGAAAACACTTGTATGCTTGTGTGTTTTTATTTCCTCTTTCACTCGCGGTTCACATGTGCGCGCTGCGTGTGATGAAACACAATGATGAGGCTCATAGAAAAAAAAAAAAAGAATCTGCCTTGTTTTTGAACTGTGCAGTGCTGTAGCTGCTTAATCAGGCCTACTAAGCCACTGTATATCATACTGGTCATTGTGGTGGAACTTGGAGAGAAATTTTTTTTTTGAGGTGGTACTTGGTGAAAAAGATTTGAGAACCACTGCTGTAGACCATATGTGCTTTTGCTTTTTGTTTTTACAAGCAAGCATTTAATCAATAAAAATTATTTTAAACAACTTAATTAAACTAATTGATTTTACCTTGAATAATTATACCTTCATTTTTAAAAAGTTCAGTGAATTATTGGACCAGATGTTCCAGAAAGGGGATGGGAAAACTCTGCCTGCTGAAGTGGACTCTGTCCAACGTTAAAGTACACTGCATAATTTGTGTGGCAGGTTTGAATATTTTTGAAGGTAAACATTTTAAATTTTGCACGAAGTTCCCTTTTGGCTGCAAATAACTTTCTTTTTTTCCTGTCAATAATTTCAGAGAAAACCCATCACCATCTCCAGCAATGCTCAGAAATTGATGTTTGCCTCAAACTACTTCTTGAACATTTCATACCCAGGAGTACAAAGTGCAAGGCTAGAGTTTGTGCAAAGGTAAAAACAAAAAAAACAAAAAACATTCTCACACACAGGCCCACAAACAAATCCTCACACTCAAATCCAGGCACTCTCACAAGCGTTCTCACATACACACACGTTGCACAAAAACATCCTCACACTTACACTCTCTTGAATTTATTCTCGCATTCATACACTCTCCACACATACTCACATATACACACTCACACATGCATTCTCACACATATTCACAGAACAATCTTCTCAGTCTCTCACACAACATCCTCTCACAGAGGTTTTTCTAGTAAACATCCACTACAAGCTTGACCTGTTAAGCTGCGGTCACACTGGACTTTTCTCTCCATAGATTCATACGCACGTGAATGCTTCAGACTGGAAACGCAGGCTTGTGTGACAAGTTTCGCAGTTCGCTGTGTTGCAAAGTTCAAGCTTGGTGAACTCTGACCTGCGAAATCGCCTCACATGACTGCGTGAGACCAATCAAAGATCAAAACATGACCGCTCTGGACAGAAATTTTAAATAAGGACCAATAACTTGCTTTTTTAAATGTCTAATCATCTTGTTTAATACCGCCCCTTTACACAGCGCTGTACAACAAAATTTCACAAGCTCAAACTCTAGAGTGACCACAGCTTTAATTTAAAACATTTTAGAGCATGATATAGTCCATGTTTTATTACTAAGGATTGTTTTCCATTCAGCAGGTTTCTTTTAAAATGGAACCCAGAGAAGGAAGTGGAGAAGACCAGAGGAATCAGAGAAGAATCGGAAGTGGAGAAGACCAGATCAAGGAAGACCACATTAAGATCTGCGGTCAGTCCAAGGGCTCTTTCAGTAATTAATAAGATTTCAGACTAAGAATAGTTGGAGAAAAGCATTGCCTAGCAGAAAATCTTGCCAGTTTAACAGACTGAAATAATCATTTTCTTTTGTGGTTTAATTTTTTCATGCCTCATCTGTTTTCATGATGAATATGTTCACACTGGTTCAGTTTTAAGGATAATTTCATTATTAATTGTAATTTGTTTACCAAACTGCTGTATTGTTACAGTATTTAACATTTCCTTTTATTGTGTCTGGACCCTTTTCACATTTTTGGGTTTCTTAAAGTCATCATAGTTGGGTAAACTTAGGCCCCGTTTACACTAATATGTTTTAGTTTTAAGAATGAAAATGATCCACGTCCACACTGGCGTTTCACCCAGTTTCTCTGAACAACTCTCCATCCATACTACACTGCTGAAAACGCACATCATGTGACCACACACACACTCTGGCATGCACTGCAGCGATGAGAGCTGTGCATGTTGGACTGCTCATCAAGGATCTACCGCTGGATCTAATCTCACTATATTTGTTAAACGTGATATTTAATTCATCTTGTCTCTATCTAATGACATATTCCCTGACTTTGGTCTTTTGAATCTTTTACTTGTTTTCAGGTAACGTGTTTTGACTGAGCGCAAACATAAGTTAATATATTAATGTAACCACTGATTCAGCACATTTGACTGACTGCTTCCGTTTATTTCCTATAAATGTATAAACTTATTGTATGTTATACTTTTATAATGGCCATTATTGATTATTAAAACGGATTTTCAGTAAAAAGAGAGGGTATGTTTTATATTTTCAATGAGAATAAAAGAAGGCAGTAATGTTAAAGGCTCTGTTATATATGTTATAAACATGCCTACAGTGAAGATGATGGTCATACAAATATGCAGCTGCACGACGCCTCAACATTTCTGCTGTCTGTTAAGTTGCTAATATCAATATGAAAATAGACAGTTCCTCATATCATGTTTTTATTTTATTGTTAATAAAGTGAAACAACGTAGCCTGCAGGGTATGTGAATGAGGTTATACAGTACACTGTTCCCTTTGGAGATTTACCCGACGTGTCCTCGGGAGTTTGTTTTCCATATCAAACTTGCGGAGTCTAAAGTTACAAGGAGACGATGCAAGACTGAACTGTATGTAGGCTACTTAATACTGAGAAAAAGCTCCAATCAGACAGGTGGATGTCTGCAGCCACGCCTCCGTTTTCAGATGTCTCCGTTTTCCCTCATCCACACTAACACAGAGCAGCAGCGTTTTAAAATAAAAACGGCCTTTCCAGCGTTTTCTAAAAAGCTCTGTTTACGGCGCTCGAAAACTTCGGCGTAGTTTGGATGGATGTCTTAACCGTAGCAAAACTTGTCCGTTTTAAAACTAAAAGTGTAAACTGGGCCTTAGAGAGCGGTTAATGGAAGAGTACCACAAATAAAACTGTATTTGCATTTCAATTGGCTCAAATAACAAAAGAATAATAATCAGGGGTCGCCACAGCAGAATGAATCACCAAATTATCCAGCATACGTTTTACACAGTGGATGCCCTTTCAGCTGCAACCCAACACTAGGAAACACCCATACACTCTGGCCTTCACACACATACACTTCGGCCAATTTAGCTTATTTAATTCACCTATAGCGCATGTCTTAGGACTTGTGGGGGAAACCAAAGCACCCGGATGAAACCCACACGAACACGGGGAGAACATGCAAACTCCACACAGAAATGCCAACTTACACAGCCGGTGCTCGAACCAGCGACCTTCTTGCTGTTTGGTGATCATGCTACCCACTGCGCGCCATGCTGCCTCTTTTTAACATAATATAAATATTAAAAACTTTAAAGGATGTAAGATGCTGATTATTATTGAAATGAGTCACATGTCTTGTGAACGGTCTATTATGACTGTCATGATTACCAGCGATCGCTAACCACCAGAGGTCGCTGGTAAACATTCACACTCCTTGAACTACATATCTGCCATGCTATGGACTACAACACCCAGTCAGGTGTTCAAGATCCAGACTGATTAAACTCTCCCAGCTGAAGCCATTCACACCATGATTATTCGGACTATTTAAACCCCTCTGTTCCAGAGCAGTTTTTCTTGTTTCCTGTTGCCTGTGTTTTTGACTTTTGGACTGTTTATCGTGTTTTGACCCTTTTCTGCCTGCCCCGAACCTTTTGCCTGTTTTGTTGGATTTGCTTCTGGATTGCCTACCACACTGTTTATACTGGTATTTGACCCTTGTCTGATTGACCATTCTTATAATAAAGCTGCATTTGGAACTACCCCAGTTTGCATAGCATCCCTTCGCAACAATGACAGTTACGATATTTTTATATTGTTGTAGTTATAAACAGACTGAAGTCTATGTTGTTGCAGCGGTTTAATTTTGGACATTTTTCTATTTAAATGTTGTTGCAGTCATGCTCAATTTTGGGGAATAAATTATTAAAATACAGTTTTACATTTATGACTGATTATTTTACAGTGTAAAATATTATAACCAAATGCAAAATGAACATAATAACTATGTATTCACTGCCTTTGAACATGTTATTTTCATAAAAATTAGTTGCTATCTGCTGACATACTGCTGGTCTGGGGTGCGTTTCTGAAAACCATTGTTTGCCAACTAAAGTTGCAAGTTCTGTTGTTACAAACATAGTTAATTTGAGATTTCCTAAATCTGTCGTTCCAACGAACACTCGCAAACTGCGTCACAAACTTGTGCACTGGCAACTACACCTCTGGAGCTGTAGTAAGAAACATAGTTCCTGGCTGTGTTCTATTCCCAGTTTTCCCCCCTATGCCCTATTCTTTTACAACATTCTAACATTTAAACTTGGGACTATTTTTAAAAAAGCATTAAAGTCATCTGTCTTTGGTGTAATTTGCTTTCAAAGCATTTTTATAGCTTAGTTTTAGCGAGCTTCATGTTTACAATTGCGATGCCTTCGTAGTGCACTTTGAAAACATTGATGTCATTTTGAACACAGCCGAGCCGAATTTATGTTATGTCTCCAAAGCTAGTATGTTTTAACAGTCATTGCTCCAAAGCTTGTGAAAACAAAAAACATATCATACATTAATGCTTTTATTTTATATAGGTTATTGATTACGACATGTAGCCTACTGTATATGACACGGGCCTGTTGGTTAGATCATTTCTGCAGTGGTTTGTGTCAAATTGTAAAAGCATTTTAACTTTATTTTTGTGTATAATATGTATATATACTAATTGTCAAATCAAATGATTAATTATTGTTTTATTTTTAATTATGCCCAGTGTTGAAACTTTTTAAAGCTATAGGTGAAATTGAAATGGTGAATTGACATGTTTCTTGATGTTTCTTTTTTTTTATGGACAACAAAATGACCTCTTGACGCTCAAAGAACTGTTTAGTTAAATACACAAAGACACTTTAAGAGCATTAAAACATTTGAAGATCAATAAATGCACAAATATTTTTTCAATATTCAATTTATTGATGCACAAAGGAAGATTTGTAGCAGTTCTGTACACTCAAAAACAGACTGCAGAGGGGAATCTTGACAGCAGAAGTGGGTTACTTTTTGCTGACTGAGCCCTCTTCGTTCTGACATCCTCATCCTCAAATGGACACTGAAAACACATGAGAACTTTAATCACAACACCACAGACACATGGGTTAGTTTCAGAACAGGCATATTAGTGAACAGAGGGACACGTACAGACTCACGCTTGTTCACTAGTCGACTTGTAAAGCCTGGCAGTCTGGGTAAGGAAAGTTGAGGCTTCACTTTCAGATCAGACGAACATGAAGGGAGTTCATTGAAAGGCTTTACAGAAACACAGCTTGGCTTCAATACAGACAAGCGTGTGGGAGCAGCAACATGATGCTGGCGGAGAGGTGTAGGTTTGACCATCCTCACTGCTGGACTCCCAGAATGTGCCAGAGGAGATGAAGAGTGGTCAACACCGCCGTTCAGGTCAGACAGAGGGAAGCTAATGTTTTTCAGTGACACTTCCGTCTTGTGTTTAGGAGAGCTCATGCTGCGTTCTGGAGGTCCGTTTGTGAAGCTCTGCTTGTTGACAGGCTTCACATGAACTCGGTGTGGCTCCAGAAGAGGCAGGTTTGAGCACACAGCAGCTGACTGCCGGTGGAGAGGCAAGTGTTTATCCATCCTTACTGCTCTACTTCCAGATGGAGGCAGAACAGATGAGGGCCGGTCAACACTGGCATTCAGGCCAGACACACATGCAGGGTAGCTGATGTTTCTCACTGAAACCTTCACCTGATGTTTTGGAGGTCCATCTGTGAAGCTCTGCTGGTTGACAGGCTTCACATGATACTTGGACTCCAAAACAGGCAGGTTTGACAGCACAGCAACAGACTGCTGGCGGTGAGGCGTATGTGTGTCCATCCTCACTGCTGGACTCCCAGAATTAGGAGAATGGTCAACACTAGTCAGGTCAGACGGGTAGCAGATGTCTTTCACTGAAACCTTGATCTGAGGTCTAGGAGCGCTCGCTGCTCTAGCTTTCAGATGTCCATCTGTGAAGATCTGCTTTTTGACACACTTCACAGGAACAGTTTTTGGCTTCAGAGCAGGTAGGATTGAGCGCCTGGCAATCAGTTGCCGACAGAGAGGAGTAAGCTGGTCAATCCTCAGTGTTCGACTCCCAGAACAAAGCAGAACAGAGGAGGAAGGCTCAACACTGGCATTTAGGCCAGACTCAGAGGAACCACAGCTGATGTTTTTCGCTGAAACCTCCATATTTGTAGGAGAGTTCGCTCCCCGATGTTCTGGGGGGTGTGGCAGAACCTGACTAGAACTTTTTTGGTTTTTGAACCACATATTGACAAACTAGAGTGAAGATTTTGTCTCAACAAAAGTAGCTTCAACGTGCCGTAAGCAGCGATCACGAGTGAAATGCGGTGAAACTCTCGTTCTGATGATGATGTAAATGTTCTTTTAGAATGTTCGCGTCATTTCAAGCTCGTGACGTTCTTTCAGACATCATCTTAAATCTCATTAAGTATATTTAATAATATATAAGTATTTAAATACACTCTGAACGCATATTTTGCACCACATTTTTAATACTGCAGTTAGATATGAATCTGACTCGCATAAGTGAGGTTGTGGCTCCCTCTAGAGGTAGAAATCGGCTTTTGCTAGCTCTGATAAGGTTACGGCTGGAATTAAATCACTTATAACATTTCCTATTTGTATTTTTAACGTCTTCTCCCACCCCAACCCTAAAACCAGCCGTAACAGTACTGTAAAAATGAACTATTGTATTACATTGTCACAAAAATGATGCTATATTGACGTGTATATCTGCAGCTGTGTCCTGCACAAAAGCTGTATAAAAATCTTAAATTAGGCCAATAAATAATAAATATAATTCATCCACCCTCCTCCAAGCCTACGGTTTCTTCTGTAAATAAATTGTACATCTTTATATAAAAGTTAGAAAGGACACTGATTCACAAAACCTCTCTCATTTCAGAAATTGCTTTATTGGCATGACAAATGTATTGCCAAAGCATTTATAAAGATTACATTTAAAGGAACACCCCCACCCCCCCCCCACACACACACATTAAATATAAACATAGTAAATACAGTAAATAGTAGTATAGTATAATAATAATAATAATAATAATAATTACTAAATTCATTTTCTTTTCGGCTTAGTCGCTTTATTAATCTGGGGTCGCCACAGTGGAGTAAACCACCAAATAATTCACCTATACTGCATGTCTTTGGACATTACACCCACGCGAACACAGGGGGAACATGCAAACTCCGCACAGATATGCCAACTGACCTAGCCGAAGCTCGAACCAGCGACCTTCTCTGTGAGGCAAACGTGCTACTCACTGCGTCAACGTGCATATTAATAATATTAAAAATAATTAAATAAAAATACAAATTTAACAGAATAAATAAAAAATAAAAAAATCTCACACAGCATCTCTAGAGACAACTTTAAATAAATAAAAAAAAAACATTTTAAAAATTACATTAAATATGTGTCGTTGAAATATAATAGTTGAACATATGAATGAGTCCAATCAGTTCACAGACATGCTGGAATATTCTTGGATATCCGTTTCTCACGCAGAGTAATATGGCTTTATAATTATGATGACAATTTATTGAAATAGTATAGTGTAAAAGGAATACATTTAAATTGATTGTATGCATACAAATGTGACTTTTGGTCATGCAACAGGAAAAATGTATTTATTTATTTATTTATTTATTTACTTACTTAACCAGCAATGTCCCATTGGGATACAATACCATTGCAGGGTGAGAGGGGTGTCTGAGGTCTTGAGAACTCCCCTGCTTGATAATGGTGAATGTAGATTATGAATAGCTATGGAGAGTGTTTGCTGAATTCAATGCTTGTCTATGATGTTGATTTAGTTTTGTCAATTTACTTATGCTACATGTTTTTGGTCTGTAGGAGGAAACCGGAGAGCCCAGGGAAAACCAACGCAAACACGGGGAGAGCATGCAAACTCCACACAGAAATGCAGACTTGGCCAGGTAAGATCTGAGCCAGTGAGATTCTTGCTGTGAGGCAATAATCCTAATCATTGGGCCTCCGTGCTGCCCTGACAAGGAAAGGGGAGGAGTAGGGGTGGAAGGGGGGATTCTTCAAGACGAAGATGGCCAAGATAAGATACTCAGGTTATTTATTGTGATTTAGGAATCGTCTGATGAATCATGCATTAACTAATGAGGACCAGCTGCTGTCAATCATAAGCACGTGCTCCTCTCGAAATTAGTTTAGAAATAAACTTTCATTTGTAAAGAGTCTATTGCCACTTTTATAGATGAAGCCATAGTGTAAATAAATGTGTCATCTGCATTAAAGTGTACATTTGCTGACCTAATAGCTTTATCAAGTTTATTTATATAAATATAGAATAAAATTGGCCCAAAATTGAACCGAGGAACACCTTACTGTTAAAGGAGCAGAGAAACAGTACGCCTTTCTAAACACACTGAATTCTTCCAGTCAAATAATTATGGAACCATTTCAACACTCGAGTACTAAAGCTTTTGCAGCAAAATATCATGATTCACAGAATCAAATGCTTTTGATAAATCTATAAAAAGTGCAGCACATGATGTTTTTATCATCCAGTGCAGTGATTATATCATTAGAAATTGACACTGCATCAGTTATAGTGCTGTGCCCTTGTCTAAAACCTGACTGAGTTTGACATAAGATTGACTTTAACTGTTCATTTACCTTAGATTCAAACACTTTAGCTGTAACAGACAACCTTGTCCGTACAGCAATGGCCGTATGTTTGCTGATTTTCAAGAACTTGGAAAAAAAACTACTAGTTAAACTCAGATTAATAAGTGATCCTCTAAAATCTTATTACACCTTTCATGTCTTTGAACTATTGTCATGTGAGATTTTTTCTTCTTTTAATAAGGAGCACCAGGAGGAAACCCACGTGAACTGAAGAAAGTTCAAAACATGCATTTACTTCCATAGTGTTTATTAATCCTATATAGAAAATCAATGATTAGCTCGGCAAGCATTTTTGGTTTTTAAAAGATGTCTTATAGACATCTAAACATAGTCGTCTTGGCTAAAACAAGGCTAAAATTGGGCTGTCAGTGAAAACCTAATAGACGTCTAAGAATTGGCCAAAACTAGCCATCAAATAAACAGAAATGACTGCATAAATAAAGTCTGTCTAACAGGCCCGTGCAGAGACCGTCCGAAGGGCATGTGCAGGATAAATTTTTTGAAGACGGGGGTGGGGGGGTTGTTTTTGAAGAGCGGGGGGTGTGGGTTGGTTGTTGTTGCGCGCGTTCTGATCAGCTGTGTTGTCGCGCGCGTACTCAAGAGCGGGACCGAGGGTATGTCGCGTCGCGGGGGCACTTTTGATCATTTTGGAAGGGCACTTTCTATCCAAGACTAAAAAGGGCATGTGCACTGCACAGGTTGAGCCCTATGTGTGCACGTGCCTGCTGTCTAATCTGTCTATTTGACGACTAGTCTAGTTTTGGCCTATTCTTAGATATCTATTAGATGTCCATTAGAATTTCACTGACAGCCTAAGATTAGCCTAGTTTTAGCCAAGCATTTAGATGTTTATTAGACGTCTATTAAACAAAATTGTTTGCTGGGAGGTTTTCAACTTCCTTTAAAATATATTCTTTAGTGTTGAAAAAAGACACTCATGAAGATTAAACAAGTAATAAATAGCCTATATATTTTGGGTGAACTATCCCTTTAACTCGAGAAACCGTTGGTTTTATTTGTGGTAAACCCATGTTTAATTTTCATGAGAGAAATTATGTAAGCAAGCACCGAGTTCGAGCACTCGTTTTAAATTCCTGGCCTCCAGACTCTAGAATAATCTGTTCCCGAATAATCCGGGCGTCACGAGAATGTTTGAGAAGAAACGCGTCTTGCATCACGAGTCAGCACTAAATGACACCTGAACCAACCGCGTGAATGAACGTGTCGCTCGATAAACCATATATTTACGTTGCCATAACGACTTGGGCATTTAACCCTCATCTATCTCGCTTTCCATCCATCCCAATACTGCTGCAATGCATCAATATCGCATCTCCCTCCCCCATCTATGGTCCATCCCCGCGCCCTCCCAGTCCCTCCTCGCCTATCCCAAACGGAGCATCCACGAATGAACGCGCCGCGCTTTGGTTTAACGGTGTGGTGCTCCGGATTCTTTTGTGCAGCTCTTACTTTCAGCACCGAACATTGATGAGGGTACGAAGCCCAAAATGTGCTTCATTTCCCTCAGATAAACGCCTCGGGTGGACGACGGAATGATTTAACGAGAATTCATCAAGCGAGAATACGGTTTTTGGTGGATCTTTACCAGCTGAAGGAAGACAAAACGAGGGCAAGGAGGATTATTTTGTGTAAATACCTGTGGAAATCGGTTACGGTAGGCTGCGATATATATACAACGAGCAAAGGAAGCACCCTGAGGGCACGTTTATTATTGTTGACAGGGAAAATACCGTCGCCTATATTCGTATTTTCCTTCAGCCGAAATATATAACCTCTGAATATAGTCTTAAATGGGAATGTAGTTGAAATTAATTCATTTATATATAATGTGTGACGCACGAATGATGAATTATTAGCTATCATTATAGACTGTTAGACATATGCCTTGATGTTTAACAGTTGGAAATACAGGCGCCTTGACAAAATTACCAGATGGCATGAGCCATAACTACATCCGGCCATAGTAAACACTTGCTGCATGTGCTAGCAACTTCATATGCATTTATTTAATCAAAAGACAAGGATTAAATCTATGTTTTCAATGTCAATTGCAATGTAAATCTCCTCACATCACACATTTAGCAGCCCATTCCTCATCATAATTGGCTGTACGCCTATAACTTCAAGTAGGAATTGATCATTGGAGATTTCTCTGTAAGTTCACACATTAACATAAGCAATAATCCACAAAATACACATGTAAATATTGTTTATTCTAAAAGGGAGTGACTGAATGTAAGTTTGCACAAAGCCAAAGACACATAATCATGAACTAAATCTATTTTCTATTTGTGTCAAAGATTGCATTGCTAAAAATCATCAGGTTAAACCACCCAACATAAATGCATATCCCAAAATCCTTAGTTAAGCTCACTCGTCTTCCATTATCTACATGCATTTCTCATTAAAACCTCAACAGCAAGTCTTCCGCTGTCAAGACAATAGCACATATCTAACAAAATCTAGTTTATGAAATTAAATATTGATCAGAGTATAACATATACTGTATTTTAGAAAATTAGACATTGATCAGAGAATTTTAATCACTATATTCATATCTATTATTAAGAATGCACTTGGGAGTATTTAAATAGGGAAAGAAGAAGAGGTAGTGATTGAAACTTGAGTCCTCAGCTCATTTTTCGTTCGTGGAGTAACTGAATACTCTGTGTGTGGACTTATTGAAGGGATCGTGTGCACAGAGGGCGTCACATATCTCAAACTCTCTCACTGAACTCCTCATCACAACACTCATCTGCAGGAACAAGAGCAAGCATCCTCAGGATCTGAACTGAACAGTAAAACCCACCATCATCTCCTTTCCCAAACTGTTTAATAAGAGATCCAAAGGACATATTGGATTTGCAATTGATCTGCTGTCTCGTGGACTACTTGCCTCCTTCTCTTTAGTTTGAGTTTGTGAGTTTGTGAGTGTGTGTGTGTTTGTGTGTGAGTGGGAACGACAGAGACTCGACTCTGAAAACAAAGCCTGTGAAGATGTCTGCACTGCGGCTTCTGTGGGTCCCTGCGCTGTTGTGTTTAACACATGGTGAGTGTCTTAAATGCACTTTTATAGACACATTACAGCTGTAATCTTTGTCTGTGTGTGTGTGTGTCAGTCAGGCCAGTGCAGAGCTGGAGGTGCCTGAATAGCAGGAATGCACTCTGAAGCTAAATTGCATCAGCTGCTGTTATGTGTTGGGATTTTGGAATTTTGGATAGACAGATATATGTGACCCTGGACCACAAAACCAGTCTTATGTTGCACGGGTATATTTTTGGCATTAGTGCAATATGCATTGAATAATCAATTGCCCTTTAAGATCATTAGGATATTAGTTATCATGATATAATTTGTAAATATCAAAACACAATCTTTGAGTAGTGCATATCGGCCAAATATTGTCCATTCATAATATGGAAAGTTTATTTATTAGATTTTCAAACTAAATTACTGGTTGACTTTCACTAGGGCCAGACGGAAACTGCGGACATTTTTTGCTATTTCTGAGCAGAATTGTGTTAAAAATCTGCGGATTATGCGGAATGATTTTGGGATTATTATAACTAAAACCTCTTTTATGAAATAAAAAGTTATACATTTTTAACTTGTATTTAATGTTTACAATGCAAATCCAATTAAATCCACTTTATTTAGTAAACAAAGCAAGTCTCTCATTTAATATCTCTACTAAAGGACAGAAAATAGGACTGAACAAACTGTATTGTAAATAAATCATATGTATATTTTCATATTAGTCAATAATTATACTTAAAGTAATTTAAAAACTGGATAAATCTAAATTTGCACACATTTACACTAGTAAATAAACAATCTATGATGGGCTGAAAATCTGCGGAATTCTGCGCACGCAGATTTCATGTGGACCTACTTTTGACTGATTCCTTGTGGTCAAGGATCACATGTACTTATTAACCTAATACAATATAACAAGCATAAAAATTGAAGAAATTGACAATAATGCTTAATATATTCATTTAAATGTGACACTTTAATGAATTGTGTATGCATCTAAGACATTTTGGTGTTTGTTGTCTAATTAAATACATTCACTGCAATAGATTATTATTGACAGTAATTACAATTATTAATTACAATATTAGAATGTTAATATTATAATAATATTACAATATTTCAATTAATATTACACAATATAATATTACAATATTAAATACAATATAATTACAATATAAAATTATTACTATTATATAGGATATAAAGATATAGGTGAATGTATTAAATGTTTAAATCATTAAAAAGATATTCCTGATAAATAGGTACAGTGCTCAGCATAATTGAATACACACCATTTTGAAAAATAATATTTTTATCCATTTCTTAGTGAATATAGGCAATGTATTTTGGTGCATTTAACCAAAACTGGTTTATAAGACTGATATATTTAATAAAATAATATCTTAGTTTCTAAACATATTTAGAAATGGAAAGATAATACAATTAAATTAAAGCAAAATATTGCACACAAAAAAAAATTAAACCTACAAAATTAACACAATTTATTTTATTTTTTTTGCTTATCTTGATTTTTCCTCTTTTTTAAAATTATATATTTAATATTTTTCTATAACATAAATTTGGGTGTACTAGTTGGCCCATTATCGCAAGTTATTTTGTTAGATAAGCTCCAGATTTGGCTTCAGTATTGAATAATCTAATATAAATGCACAAATATAATATTGTATAGCTTCCTTTTAAAAATAAGAATGAAAAAAAAAATTGTCAGGGGTGTACTTATATATGCTGAGCACTGTATTCTTCAAAATAATTAATTTATGTATACCGATACTGATACACTGATATACAAGTCATGTGAGCATATGTTTCTATTTTTCAGTCATTATCTACATGCCAATTAATTTTTATTAGATTACTAGTAGACTGTTAGGTTGGGGTTAGGGTTAGTATAAGTTGACATGTACTTGCAAAATTTCTTATAGTCAGTTCAATGTCTGTTGAAGGAGCAGAATCAACAGATATTAAGCAGACAGTCTACTTATACTTAATTGGACCATCAAAATAATGTGTTACCAGTTTGTTATAAGATTTTTTGTACTATCGTTACACTGACTGACAATTTATCATCTGTAATTCATGGTAAAAATATGTTTTTGCTAAAATTAAACAAACACACATTTAAAAATACACATTTAAAGCTTTAACATTTTCACTTTTATATTCTGCATGCTTGAAAACCCCATTCTATACATTTCATTATTATTTACAGTTTAACAAAACTTGATATTTATAATTTTACATCATGTTATATTTTGATCAACAAACATGACAAAATGTTTTTTCCATTACATTAACTCATTAAAAAAGTCAGTTTATTATAATTTACATATGTTGAAATCGCTTCCTGGTCAATCATACTTATATATTTCAGGCTGCAATTTTTTAAAACCTAAAAACTGAACAAAGCTATTTAGTAAAATAACTTTATATATTTAAAATGTACTGTATTCCATCCAGAGCTATTTATATTGAAGTATTAAAAGTTATACTTGTTGTTAACCCAATTATAAGTTTGTTGTTAATTATACTCATTGACCCAATCATAAGTTAAGTACACTCAAAAAGTGAGTGTTTAAATTACCTATTTAAAACGAGCTGAAACAACACAATTTTTAAGATTTCTTTGGGATAACTCAATTGTTTTATTTTCAATCCACTTAAATATTTTAAGTTCACTTAACTGATTCGTATTAGGACAACATGAATGGTGTGGAACGCTGCATTTTAATAGTGTACCTGTCCATTAGTAGCATGTCTTTGGCTTTATTTAGCTCACAGTGGGTTTGTTCGTGGATTTTAAGGTTTACAGACTTCTCAGTAAAACAAAACCAAAGCAGCTGCCACTGTTCATAGAGCACGCATTGATGCTAAAACAGAGTTCTGAGTAATCGGGGTGGTCCAGACACTAATAAAGCTCTTTCCCGAATCTGCAGTTGCTTCCATCACAAGCTGTTATTATCTTCCAGTTGCTCGTGAATGCTTTGTTTTGTGTCGTGTTGTGAATGCTTGGTTCTGTAGTGGGTGTCTAAAATATGTGGCTGTCAGCGCTGACTATCTTTTATCTGTGACTGTAAGAAGGCCAGTGATGGAAATGAATCGCTCTCCGGGGAACAGGTGTTGTCTGTTATGCCTCGGCGATAGATGTCCTAGTTTACAAGGTGGGGATTTGTATCTCCCTTCATGTCGTGTGCTAGGACGCCCATTATGAGGATATCTGTATTTTGTGTACTAGTTGCAGGTTATGTAAACTCACTAGTTATTAGCTGGTTTATCACCTGGTCAATATATGAAAGTGTTCATCATTTCCTTTGTTAATCATTCTCACTTTGTAAGCAGCTTTGGGAAGATTGAGTTTGCTAAGCTAAATGCTATTGTCAGCGTGATGAACTATGTGTTATTCTACCAATTTACTGAGTTAAACTAAAGGGATTGTTAACTACTCACCCTCAAGTGGTTATAAAAATTGTTGAACACAAAAGATATTTTGAAGAAAGGTGAAAATCAGTAGCCATTGACATCCATACACTGTAAAATAGATCCGTTAATTAACAGGTTCTGTATTTTGTGATTAGGCATCAGGGTGGCTCAGTGATTAGCACTCTCGCCTCACAGCAAGAAGGTAGTTTGAGTCCCGGCAGCGCCAGTTTGCATTTCTGTGTGGAGTTTGAATGTTCAAATCAATGCATTGCCATGGGTTTGCTCTGGGTGCTCCAGTTTCCCCCACAGTCTGAAGACATGCGCTAAAGGTGAATTGGATGAGCAAAATTGGCCATAGTGTGTGTGTGTGTGAATGCCATAGTGTATGGGTGTTTCCTGGTGTTGGTTTGCGGCTGGAAGGGCATCCGCTGCATCCAACATATGCTGGATGCAAGTCGGCGGTTCATTCCGCTGTGGCGACCCCTGATTAATAAAGGGACTAAGCCGAAAAATAAAATAAATGAACGTATTATGTGATTTACAGGTGTTTTCTTTTTAATTTATGGGTATGAGTTGCATTATGGGATGTTGATCTCTGTTCTGTTGACTACTGATGATGAAATCATCAGTAGTCGATCATTGTTGGTCGATCATTGTTGGTTAAGTTAATCCAAAGAAGTAATAAATTATAAATTACAGACTACTACAGTAAAAAAAACATTACTAATAATGTCATGTGAAAAGTAATCAGATTACTAATTACTTTACTTTGAATTTACTTTTAAAACATATAAAATATACCTATAAAATACAAAATAAACTGCAGCTCTTTCAGTAATTTAATATTCACTGAAAAACATTACAATGGGTTGATCACAGCAGCTTGACATATTCAAAAGACTTAAAGAGTTCACCTAAAACTTAAAATTCTCTCATCAATCACTTGTTCCAAACCTAATTGTCTTTTTTTTAACACAAAAGAAGACATGAAGAAAACTGTATAACTGTAACCATTGAGATCCTTAGTATGTAAAAGCACTGCAGTGTTTGGGTGTTCTGTGTCTGTCTGAAGTAATTAGTCTACTTAAATGTGTATATTCTATACAAAGCATGAAGCTGAACGGTCAGTCTTTGTAATGTGATTCGCGATTTTCAACTGGTGTGCCTGGAAAATGCGAGCACCCGCAATGTGAATATGTGTGCAAATATGTGTGTTTACGCTCAGTGTAATCAACGTAATGTCTGTATTTAAAATGTAGTTCATTACATTACCGCGTTCCCCAAAAATGTAATTCAAATACTGTAAAGCTACTGTGGAACTTTGTACACCAAACTCTGGGAATAATATATAGAAAATTAAGGCTGTAAAATGACAGAAAATGTTTATTATCAGGTTTTTGTATTGTAATTTACAACAACAAACAAGTGAATATATCACTTCAAACTATTACAAATGTCAGTAAAAGTCACTTTTTCAATCTTTTCAACATCTAAAGTTGGAGGAGAAAAGATCAAGAAAAGATCAAGGTCCCATAATGCAATTAAAAAGCATAAATAAATGATAATGAAGAAAT